GGGAGATTTTTGATTACTGTTTCAATCTCCTTACTGGTGATTGGTCTGTTCAAATTCTCTATTTCTTCTTGATTCAGTTTTGGAAGGTTGTATGATTCTAAGAATTTATCCATTTCTTCTATATTATCCAATTTGTTGGCATATAGCTTTTTGTAGTATTTTCTTATAACTTTTCTATTTCTGAAGTGTCCGTTGTAATTTCTCCTCTTTCATTTCTGACTTTATTTGAGCCTTCTCTCCTTTTTTCTTGGTGAGTCTAGCTAAAGGTTTGTCAATTTGGTCTATCTTTTCAAAGAACTACCTCTTGGTTTCGTTGATTTTTTTCTGTTGTTTTTTTTAGTCTCTATTTCATTTATTTCTGCTCTGATTTTTATTATTTCCCTCCTTCTGCTGATTTTGGGCTTTGTTCTTCTTTTTCCAGTTACTTTAAGTTCACTGTTAGATTGTCTGAGATTTTTCTTGTTTGTTAAGGTAAGCATGTATTGCTGTAAACTTCCCTCTTAGAAGCACTTTTGCTGTATCCCATAAATTCTGGCATTTTGTGTTTTCATTTTCATTTGTCTCCAGGTATTTTTCGATTTCTCCTTTGGTTTCTTCATTGACCCAGTCGTTGTTCAGTAGCATTTTGTCTAATCGCCGCATATTTATGGCTTTTCTGATTTTCTTCCTATAATTGATTTCTAGTTTCATACTGTTGTGGTCAGAAAGAATGCTTGGTGTTATTTCAGTCTTCTTAAATTTATGGAGACTTGTTTTGTGGCCTAATATGTGATCAATCCTGGAGGGTGTTCCATGTGCATTTGAAGAGAATGTGTATTCTTTGGTTTTTGGATGCAATGTTCTATTTGTATCTACTAAGTCCATCTGTTCTAGTGTCTCATTTAAGGCCAATGTTTTCTTTTCTTCCCCCCTCCGCCAAAGCCCCAGTAGATAGTTGTATGTCATAGCTGCACATCCTTCTAGTTGCTGTATGTGGGACACGGCCTCAGCATGGCCGGAGAAGCGCTGTGTCGGTGCGCGCCTGGGATCCGAACCAGGGCCACCAGCAGCGGAGCAGGCGCACTTAACCGCTAAGCCATGGGGCCGGCCCAAGGCCAATGTTTTCTTATTGATCTTCTGTTTGGATGATCTATCCATTGGTATAAGTGGAGTGTTCAAGTCCCCTGCTATTATTGTGTTACTGTTTCTCCTTTTATGTCTGTTAATAATTGCTTTATATATTTAGGTGCTTCTATGTTGGGTGCATAGATATTTACAAGTGTTATATCCTCTTGTTGGATTGTTCCCTTGATCATTAT